TAAAAAACAAAAAATGCATTGTGTTGTCATTTGCTAGCCAGAGTAGGAGTGAAAGCTATTTGCTTTCAGCACAGCAGCGGGGGGGGGGGGGGAAACAAAGCCTCTCCTACTGGCCACCTGCTCTGAGTGCCAACATCTGCAAAGAGAAAAAGGAACAGAAACATCTCTCAGTCATTTTAAACAATAAAAAGCCTCAAGGTAACTTGACAGGATAAAATGCAAGACATAAAAGCAATGTCAGGAAACAATGCAAAAGGCTCATTCAGTAACATGTTTCATAACGGCAATTCCTACCCACCAGCGTTTGAAATTTGCCAGGCACATTTTGCACCTGGCTACCAGCCACCTGCGACCAAGTGAAGATGCCCAGGTGCCAGAATGGCGCCTGACATCTCCGTCATCTGAAGGTGCATTCCTGGAGATCCTTGGATCTTGACTATTTTCACACACTAGCAACACATCCTGTAGAATTATATTAATGATATTTTATCTGCACAATCAGAATTGATTTCAGGAACCAAAATGTTGTATCGAAATATATGACTTTTGAGCCATCTGGCCCAAAAATGACAACTAGGCATACCGTTTCAGTGACTGTAACCCTGGTTTAAGGAGCCATCTGGCGCCTAGCTTATATATCTGAGTTTCTAACCCACAACACAACATAGGAAAACCACTGTAGGAGGCAACATTAATTAGCCATAGGCCTGAGTAAATAAAAAGGACTAAGAAGAACATTCCATAGATGGAGTCAACCCTGAAAAAGTCCATTCTCATGTGGCCACCATTCACACCTCCTTTGGGTGGGGAACACGGAGAAGGGTGTCTGTTGAAGACTGCAGGGTTTAGGTTGGTTCATATGGAAAAAAAGCAGTCCCTAAGGTATTGTGGTCTTCAGCCCTATAACTTCCTAAACGTGAGTCTCCAGCTATTGTTGGACTACAATTCCCATCATCCCTAGCAGGATCAGTGGTCAGGGATGATGAGAACTGTAGTCCAAAAACAGCTGGAGACCCACATTTGGGAAACCCTGCTATAGGGCTTTAAAGGTCAAAGCCAACACTTTGAATTGAGCCCAGAAACAAATTGGTAACCAGTGCAGTCAGGCTGGAGTTGATGTAATCTATTCAGGTCTTCTGGTCCCAGTCACTAACCTATGACCAGCTAGCCATGGTTGCTGGAGGAGCCATGGACGCCTAACCTGTGGCTTCCATATTTCATTGGACTAGAACGCCCATGATTCCTCGCCATTGGCTATGCCAGCTGGGACAACGCTTGGAGGGCCACAATTTCCCCATCCCCAGACTACCCTCTGCATATGATCTGAGCATAGGACTGCAGCATTAATGGGTTCCTGAACCTAGGAAGCTGACCTATATGGAGTCAGGCCATTGGCCCATGCAGCACTTCTTCTGCGCCATTGGTCTTCCAGTGGTGGGTTAGGACTTGCTGTTAGGTTGTAGCCTGATCTAAGGTGGGTTGCAGCAGCAGCATTACTACCATATAAATCTCCAGAATTCCAGGTAGGGGTCTTTCGTAGTCCTACCTGGAGATGCCAAGGGATGAAACTGGGACTTTCTGTGTGCCAAGGAGGTGCTCTGCCCCTTTGCCACAGCCCTTCCCTGATGACTCTCTGATCTGTTAAATTCCTGGGAAGGGTTGAATTTGAGTTAACTCTCTGTCAAGTGCGACCATTATTTCACAACACACAAGCAGCCCAATGCCCAACCCTAACTTTGGCAAGCCATTGTGTTTGCCTTAGTCCTGCCTCTCCCGTCTGCAAACTAGATGGAAAATAGTGTGCCACTTAACAGTTTCGTTATAAGAATTGCAACAATAATGTACGCACCTTTGCATCCTTGTGTTACATAAATGTTCAGTATTTAATCTGGTAACTTCCAGGGGCGGTTCTGTTTTTTTGTTTTGCAGGAGAACTGCATCTATCTCCGCACAATTGTGAAAGTCACATTCTGTGAGCTGCTGGCCTAAGTAGGTTAGTCTGATGTTTTACTCGGTGACAAAGAATTCCCCTCACACACACACCTTCAAAGTCCTCATTTAAAGTCCCCCCTCTCCCACTCCAAAGGACTAATTGCTTCTTATCAAACAAAATATATTGGTGGGGAGAAAAAGCTTTGATTGCACGGTGAGCTATGACTTTGCCCCATGGAGACAGCGGTTTTGTGTGCTTTTGTTTAAGAGCTTTTTCTAAAACATCCAAGCTCTATACTGTATATGCTTGCTATGAAAACCAAAGGCCAAAACAGGCTTAGTATGGCTTGATTCAGCTTCATACCAAAACTAAACTAAATTCTGTTTCAACAGGCAAGCATTGCTTGTTTTGTGCAATGACGTCTGTGCGTAGTGACTTAGGGCACCATCCGCTTGCTTGTGGAAGGACTTTAGATCCAGTGAATGCCCTCTGCTAATGGAAAAGAGGGGAAAGGGGTTTTATTTGTGGCAGATTCCTCCTTCCTCTTCAGCCGCAATACTTTTTAAAAAAGAAAATTGACTTCAGAGGTTTGGGGGACCCCCTACAAACAGGGTGAAAGATGGCATGCGTGGCCTTGGAATGGGAAGCACATATTGGCAAAATCCTCATTCCTCTCCTTTGGGTCATGGCTTTGTCCATTGGATCAAAAGCACTTCTGTGAGTGGTGCAAGAGCACCAACCTGGATTCCACCTTCTAATAATAATAATTTAAAAAACTGAAGTGTGTTTTGTAAAAAAAAAAAAAAAAGTCCACCTGCACAGGTCTAGATGACTTCAATATGTTCCCTCACCCCAGGTTCTGTGTACTGTATTGACAAAAGCGATCCCAAAATGCCTCTCAACGATGAGCAGAACGGTGACTCCGATTCTTCCCGGTTCTCCGAAAGCACAGCTTCTTCTTCCAGCGACTCCGAATATTCAAGGCAGAGTTTCACCAGTGACTCTTCAAGCAAGCCCGGCTCTCCAGCTTGTAAGCTAGCATGAGCTACTGGTGCATGTGGCAGGAAATTTGAGAAGCACTACCTTGTGTGCAAAATGGATGTTCACATTTGGTTTCCCTGCCACACACACACACACACACACACACACACACACACACACTTTCAAGGGTTTCATCTGCTGGCTTCACTGTACAAGAAATATCCAAGCTGTAGGCCAGTGTGGGGAAGCAGTGGCTGTCTGGGTGTGGCTAGCCTTTATCTTCCATGAAGTCCATATTCTCTTATCTTTTTTGGAGGCAGTGGGAAATCACAAGTGGGGAGAATGCTATTCCTCTTGGGAGCTGCTTGCAGGTTTCCCATAGGCAGTTGGATGGCTGTAATAACAGGATGCTGGACTAAATGGGCCACTGGCCTGATCCAGCAGGACTTTTCTTAGGTTCTTAACTCCCATCAGGTTCAGCTAGTTTGGCTAATGGTCAACAGGGATGGATGTTGTAGTCCTGCAACATCTAAGGTAAAGGGACCCCTGACCATTAGGTCCAGTCGTGACTGACTCTGGGGTTGCGGCACTCATCTCGCTTTACTGGCCGAGGGAGCCGGCGTACAGCTTCTGGGTCATGTGGCCAGCATGACTAAGCTGCTTCTGGCGAACCAGAGCGGCGCAAGGAAACGCCGTTTACCTTCCCGCTGGAGCGGTACCTATTTATCTACTTGCACTTTGACGTGCTTTCGAACTGCTAGGTTGGCAGGAGCAGGGACCAAGCAACGGGAGCTCACCCCGTCGCGGGGAATCAAACCGCCGACCTTCTGATCGGCAAGCCCTAGGCTCTGTGGTTTAACCCACAGTGCCACCCGTGTCCCTTCTCCTGCAACATCTAGAGGGCCACAAATCTAGATGTATGTTTTAGTTGAAATTCCTGCATTGGGTTGGACTAAATGACCCATGGTGTCCCTCCCTACTCTCCAGTTCTAAGACTCTACAAAATTCTCCACCTTCGCTCCAAGCAGTTAACTACCATTATGGAAAGAGGCTGAATGTTTATATAAATTGTGTTTATGTATATTATTGGGTTCACCCTTTATCATCTCCACTTACAAAGGACTCATTCAGAAATATTAAAGCTCTGAAGTGTTTTCATGTTAAGCTTTGACGCTAAACATGTTTTCCCTTCCTTTGTCCCAGCTACAAGCCCTCCCAAAGTGGTTACATTTGATGAAATGATGGCAGCAGCAAGAAACTTGTCAAACTTGACTCTGGCTCACGAAATTGCTGTTAATGAAAACTTTCATTTGGAGCGCACTGAACATCCACCAAACAGGTAAGCAAGAGGGGTTTAGTAATTTCACCGAAGGGGCTTTAGGGCCCCAGCCAAGTTTTTTACCATTTAGGGCTGGACAGGTATACTGAGATGTTTCACTTTGGCCAACACAACAGGTAGATTTTAATAAGGGCAAAATGCAGTAAAACAATAAATTCAGTTTTAAAGCAAGAAAAGGCACTAGGGGCTCTTAAACCTAAAATGTATGAATCACTGCTGCTTGGCAGCTAAAAAACTTAAATCCACCAAGTGACTCCACACATTCTGATTTTCCTATGGAAATGGAAACAGGATTGAGGGAGAGGTTTATATCCACGTTTAATTAAGAAGAAAACCTAAATATGCATAGAAACTTTCCAGTATTGCATATCTGATTCTCTTTGGTAGATACAGGAACAATTTTTTCCTAGTTTTCTGTTCTAGCTGCAGTTGTTCTGGTGGGACCACTGCCACGACTTCAAATTATATAATCTGGCACAACACTCCCTGGCATCAACCCAAATGCCTCTCCCATAGGGATATGAGGAGGCATCAGTTTTCATTTCAGCCTGTGTTTGTCACCTGCAGCGCTGTTTCCATCCTGCTGCAGCTCAGTTGCTAACAAAAAACACTTATTTGTCTCTGTGTCTGCTGTGGTGGAATTTTATGAAATTACATCATTTAAAAATTGATTGCTTATTGCTGTTGTTTTGACTCTCATGGTTGTATCAACCACAGAAAAAAAATACATATATATATATATATATAGACTGATACAATGTGTGTTTTATTCAGCACCATTCATTTCAGTGCAAATGTTAACACTGTTAACTATTTACATTATTTTCCTGCCTGCCACAGCTTGACTAGAAGGGTGAAGCAAATTGTGCACCAAGCATTCTGGGATCGTTTGGAGGAAGACTTGAATGAAGATCCTCCCGAATATGAACATGCCATCAAGCTGTTTGAAGAAATTAAAGAGGTGAGTTAACCTTGGGTTTCTTTTTTTCTCTTTTTCTTTTGTCAGCTTAGGTCCAGCTATATAATTTTATCAGTACAGCAACACTTCTGTTCTAATCATGCTCACACAAGACCTGCATTACCACGGTGAGCCAGTTTAACTACAGCTGCTGCACCTTACTTGATTCGTGTGTGTGTGTGTGTTTAAATATTTCAGATTCTTCTTTCTTTCCTGAACCCTGGGGCTAACAGGATGCGAAGCCAAATCTGTGAAGTTCTCGATGCCGACCTCATAAGGCAGCAGGCCAAGCACAATGCAGTTGACATCCAGGGTCTCGCAAACTATGTCATTAGCACCATGGGGAAGCTGTGTGCTCCAATAAGGGATCATGACGTCAACCAGTTAAAAGCTACTGGGAACATTGTCATATTGTTCAGGTTGGTGTGCGGTTTTCCTTTTTCGCTTTGTTCTTTATCATTGTTCTTTTAGCATTGTTCAAAGAATTGGCGAAAAACTTGGATTTTTCAAATATAGTGATCTGGAGTGGGATCCAGGGTTTCCCAAACTTGGGCCTCCAGCTGTTTTTGGACTACATTTCCCATCATCACTGACCACTGGTCCTGCTAGCTAGGGATGCTGGGAGTTGTAGTCCAAAAACAACTGGAAACCCAAATTAAGGGCTGCCGAGAGGGTGCACCTAGGCCAGCAACCTTGTTGCATTTTATTTTCCTTCATGCTGCTTGTTTGTATTGATTCTAACATTTGTAGTTTTACTACTCAAACATGCTGCTCCATCTAGTAGCGCTTTCCATGAAGCAATCATTTCACAGAGGGCTTGCCAATGTGGCACCCATGGACATCTTCCTCTGATGCCCACAAAGCCTCCGAGTGCCCCACTTGCTACCCACGTGGTCATGAGGTGGTGAGAGTGGTTGCACTTTTCTCCTTGGAAAAGTAGAGCTGAAGGAGGATGTTGCAAGAGTGATGCTTGTTCCTCCTTTCAGCTCTCTGTGCTCTTCAAGATCAAAATTAATTCTGCTGGATCCAGCTTCTACGCATATTCCTTGTGTGGGGCACACAAGAATACATCTGGGCCAAAGGGGTTTTGCAGGCACCTGCCAAGCCCTGCCCATTGTGCTTTGCAAGCATTGATCACCCGCTGTACCTCAAAGCGGGTCTGATTTTGTATTGAGATGTTTGCTATCTTCCTATGTCTATTGAAGCCATTGTGACATGGTAACTCAAGCAGTGATGTGAAGGGGAGTCCTTGGATCATTTTAGTGGGGTTTTGCTGGCTTAACTGCAGATACACTATTTTAAGCAGGTTACAGACCAGAATATTTTAATTGCATTGCTTGTGAGCATTTAGTAGAAGCTGTGCCTTATATTAACAGAGATACTACAAATGCACAGAGTAAGTTCATGAATTGCCATGGCGGTGTCTAATAATAGTTTGGCTGTGTTGCAATTTATCTTTGATGCTTGAGCAGTGGGGCGGTTGCCCTTTGCAAACTGGACTACTGGGGAACTGAGATAAGCCTGTGTCTCTGCATATGCTGCGTGGTGGGGAAAAGACAACGTAATCAAGTTTCCTATGATGACATGGCTGCAAACTAATTTTGTTTGTTGTATTCTTACAGGCAAATATTCCACGTCCTGGATCTCATGACAATGGATATGGCTAATTTTACTATTCGGAGCCTTCGACCTCATCTCCAGCGTAACTTGGTGGATTACGAAAGAGCAAAATTCCAAGATATACTTGAAGAAACGCCAAGTATGTCCTTTGTTTACATAGGCGGGTATATAGCCAATGGCCTGGCGATGCAGGCAGCTGCCTGGGGCCTCTAGTTAAGAAGAGGTCCAAGGGGAGATTTACATTTTCCTTCCTCCTCAATGAACTAAAAGCTCCAGCAGGAAGAAATTTGATCTTTTAAGCCACCTTCTAAAACCTGTTCGTGGTGCTATACCAGAGAAGCAACCTTTAAACAATGCTTTTGGTCAGGAGTGTTAGCCAAGTCTCCTTATTCAGTATATGAGAGACCTGCAAGCTATACAGTATTTGTGCAAATCCTTGGACTCCAACCTACTGACACAACTGATGATGAGAATTAATAATAATAATAATAATTTTATTATTTATACCCCGCCCATCTGGCTGGGTTTCCCCAGCCACTCTGGGTGGCTTCCAACAAAATATTAAAATATAGTAATCTTTTAAACATTAAAAGCTTCCCTAAACAGGGCTGCTTTCAGATGTCTTCTAAAAGTCTGGTAGTTGTTTTTCTCTTTGACATCTGGTGGGAGGGCATTCCACAGGGCGGGTGCCACTACTGAGAAGGTCCTCTCCTTGGTTCCCTGTAACTTGGCTTCTCGCAGTGAGGGAACCGCCAGAAGGCCCTCAGTGCTGGACTTCAGTGTCCGGGCTGGACGATGGGGGTGGAGATGCTCCTTCGGGTATACTGGACCGAGGCCGTTTAGGGCTTTAAAGGTCAGCACCAACAATTTGAATTGTGCTCAGAAATGTTATATTCAGGCAGTGTTTTCATCAGGGGACACTGTGAGTGCTGCACTGCTTTGTCAGGGATGGGGGGGAGCAGAGAAGTTGGGGGGTGTTGCTCCGTTTCTGGTTGAGAGCTAAAGTTTTTTTTGTTTGTTTGTTGATGTATTGTGAAGTGTATTGTGTTTATTTTATGTTGGAAAATCAATAAAAAATTTATTAAAAAAAAAGAGAGAGCTAAAGCACATTCAAGGAACATGTCGTGTGGAGACTCAAATATAGTTAGGGGAAAGTCATGAAAAAAGAATAAACTGTCATGTGAATGCAGTTGCTCTTCCAGGAGAAGGCCCTGCCTTCCTCCTGCACAGTCTGTTGTGATGCTGTATGTCTTGTTGCACAGGCGGAACTTGTGCTGACAGTGGCTACGGCACAAGAAGGGCAGCTTCCTTCTTGCAGTGAGTGCTACCTCCATTGCAATACACGCAGCGGCATTATAATACAATGCAGGCAGAATTGCAACTGGTCTGCTATGATGTGATCTCCATCAAAGAGCACTAGAGCTGTTCTGTGCCTTTCTGCAGTTCTCTACTTCTACCTCCTTTTTGCGAGCAGGGCCTTGGGGTTTGCCTTCCTCCATAGAGTGTGCCTCCCCCAGCTGTGCAATAATAAAACAGTTTCTGTTTTCTGTCTTGCAATGTTTAGGTGCCCTGGACTTGACCACAGAATGGATAAGGGAATCTATACAAGATGAATTGTCTTCTCTTTCCTGTGAAACGTCTTCGCATGCTGGTGCTAATGGGATGTCCAAAACAAATCTGAGTCCTACTTCGGTGCTAACAAACAGCTACTTGAAACTCTTGCAGTGGGATTACCAGAAAAAGCCTGTTCCTGAGGTAAAGCTTGCTAAGACGGGGACAGGAAACCTGTGGGCCCTGCAGGTGTTGAGGGACTACAACTCCCATCATCCCTGACCACTGGCCATGTTTGCCGGGGTTGATGGGAGTCCAACAACATCTGAAGGGCACAGGATCCCCAGCCCTGATTTAAGAGCTTCCTCCTCACCCACCATGACCAGTCCCAGAGCAGAGTTTCCTATCTCCATGTGAAGAAAGTAGCCTTGCAGCAAGTTTGTGGGAAGGAAGGAAGGCTAAGTAGCCAAAGGAACTCTTATGTGCTGGAATGTGCAGTCTTACATTTAAAAATGAAGATGCAAAATAAACTTTTAAAAAGGCCAAAATGCACACAAGAAAAGTGGGAAGTTGTCACATGGGTGGTTACTACAATTCACAGAGTGCTTTCAGCAATCAATCCATCTGACAAAGGGCACATTCACGCAATGCATTTAAAGCACCATGATGGCACTTCAAACAGTTATGCATCCCTCAAAGAATTCTGGGAGCTGCAGGTTGTTAAGGGTGCTGAGAGTTGTTAGGAGGCCCTTGTTCCCCTCACAGAGCTACAATTCCCAAAGAGGTTTAACAATCAGCCCCTCTTCCCAGGGAACTATGGGAACTGTAGCTCTGGGAAGGGGGAATAGGAGTCTCCTAACAATTCTCAGGGGACGCAGGTGGCGCAGTGGGTTAAACCACAGAGCCTAGGACTTGCTGATCAGAAGGTTGGCGGGTTGAATCCCCGCGACGGGGTGAGCTCCCGTTGCTTGGTCCCTGCTCCTGCCCACCTAGCAGTTTGAAAGCACGTCAAAGTGCAAGTAGATAAATAGGTACCGCTCTGGCGGGAAGTTAAACGGTGTTTCCGTGCGCTGCTCTGGTTCGCCAGAAGCGGCTTAGTCATGCTGGCCACATGACCCGGAAGCTGTACGCCGGCTCCCTTGGCCAATAAAGCGAGATGAGCGCCACAACCCCAGAGTCGGCCACGACTGGACCTAACGGTCAGGGGTCCCTTTACCTTTAACAATTCTCAGAACCTGTAAAAATTTCAGATCCCAGGTTTATTTGGAGAATGTCATGACTGATTTTAAAGTGGGGTAACTTAAATGTATGGTGTGAATGCAGTCTAAATGAACTCCTTTGACAATAAATTGAACTCCTGGTAAAATACATATCTTTATATTCGGTCTCATTGGGGATTTGATTGTTTTGCTGACACTCTTTTCTAAACATCTTATTCCAGACATTAATGACAGATGAAGGTCGTCTTCAGGAGTTAACAGAGAAACTGAATCAGTTGAAGGTTATAGCGTGTGTGTCTCTCATAACAAGCAACATGCTGGCTGCAGTTATTGAGGGCATTCCCGATTTTGTAGACAAACAAAAGCGGATTTCATTTGTGCTACTTGAAGGAATGAATAAGAAGTAAGTATTTAGACTTGAGTGTTGGAACTTACTGAAAACCTATATGAAAAGTCAACATGGGGGCAGGAATCAAAGGCAGTATCTGATAGAATTAACATGGTTTTCTCCTCACCCCCCTTTTTGCAGGAGTTTTGATCTGAAAGAAGCTCTTAATGCAATAGGTATTCGTACGTGTAGCGAAATAAATG